CCCCCCCCCCCTAGCCACATTGCGGCGCAGAAGAACAATATTCACAAAGGATGTCGCTAAATGCTTGAAAACCAAAAAATGTTCAGCAGGGCGTAAGCCATAGAAAATTGCGCGCTCGACAAACAATTCCGCACTCTGCGGTCAATAGTTATGGTAGCTCCGGCTAGCCCCGATTGCATGTTAATCGAGAAGTTCTCCCCTCAAACCAGTAGGTATGGCCTCTTCCCGAAAGCTTTCCCCGAGAGCGTACCTTACCGGGGAAGGGACCCTCCCTGTTCGGGAAAGCATACCTTACGGCCCCAGGGGAAGGAGGAAACGATGGTGTCTAGTTAAGAGAAGAAAAGAACTATCCTTAACTTTCATGGTCATTTTTCCCTACTGATATCTTTCCTTATTGTCGTTTTTATGTTCCACTGACTTCAACTTGTTACACTTTTTTTTACATAATTCGTAATTACATATGTGACCCTCCAGTGGCGAGTGCCTTGTTCTTCTTGTGGAAAGGATCCATTTCAAACGAATGTGTGAGCGTTTCCTGAAATGTCGCTGATCAATGCCAAAAAAACTCGCGATTGGATATAGGGAATACTTTGTTTGCGTGCGTTTCAGGTGATCAACTCTTCTCAGTCCTCACTGTCGGACACTTCGCCTGAGAAATGCAACCGATTTTTTGACTGAAGTTATTATTTTTCAAAATGAGTGGAGCATTGTCGAGTGGAGCCTTTATTACACTACTTCTTTTCATCTCCGGAGCTGGATCGTTCATTAACTCGACTTCAGTGTTTGTATACACTTTGCTTGACTATTCTGAAATATTTGTACCGTTTAGCGTGAAAGTAGCATCAGGCTTCTAAGGAATACTGTCTACTTTAAGTTTAGTCCTAAGTCGATCTTTCCACAAGCGCTGTCGAATTTGGTGCAATTTAGCTCCGCCCGCTCGATGTTCGGTGTTATAGGCGCGATGTCATCTGCGAAACGGAGAAGGTGTAAGTGATGAGCGTCGCTCTTCACTCCCAAAATTTCCCATTCGCTCTCGAGAATGGCACTGAATGCTTGAGTGAGTTGTATCATCCTGCTGAAGGGTTCTCCTCACGTTGACAATTTATTCCTCATCGAATGGCGAAATACTAGTTGTGGAGTTATTGTAAAACTCAGGAAGCATACTAAAGTGTCGTGTAGGAACGCCCTGGTTGCCATAGCTTCGATTCTCGCTTCTGTCTCGACTGTATCGAAATTCTCCTTCATATTAATATACGTAAGACATAGCGGCATTTTAAACTCTCGCGGTTCTTCAATGATTCCTGTGGCGTGTGGATGTAATCATTGTTCTGAGCCCTCTCCGAAACCCTGCTTGCTCGCATTACTGTCCTTCATCCAACATCCTGCCAATCCTATTGAGGATGACGTGTGAATAGTTTATACTTCACAAACAGCAAGTAGATTGGGCGATAATTTCCAATATCGTCTGATCTTGCCATGATAGGTGTCCTCGTCAATACGCACTTGGCCATGAAGATTGATTCGTACGAAGGCTTGACGACCTGAATCGGACGTTTGCGATTGAGAAGATGTAGCTCAACCTCGGCTCTAACAATCTTCGTCGCTTATGCACTAACATCGAGCTAAGATGAAGAAGAGCTGATGAAGATGAGTTCTATATGGATCTGGAGAAGCTCTACAGAGAAGACCATACTTTCTTCGAGGTCATCGTCGGTGATTTCAACGCCAAGATCGGCCCCGGAAGAACGGATGAAGAGCTCCACATCGGGACTCACGGAGTAGAATGGAATGAGCAGGGTGAAAGGCTGTCCGAGTCCATCATCTCGACCCACACCATCCATGGTATTCGCAGATCCAGAAGCCCTCTCATTCCCGATGGACATGCGGGTCACCTGGTGGGCAGTTCCATAATGAAATAGATCATCTCATCGTCAATCGGAAGTTTTCCCTGACTGAAGTCGCTGTTGTTCCGAAGTTCTACGCGGGATCAGACCATCGTCTCCTCCGCGCTAGATTCCGCTTTTCAGTGCGCGGAGAGAGAGCTGCGAAGTTCAGGAAACGAAGCCCCAAGACTGTGGTCAATTGGGATCACTTCGCTTCATTGGCGAGTTTATGGGAAGATTCCGTAAACGACAACATCGATGAAGAATACGACCGGCTTGTCGAACATCTTCACGATTGCGTCAGGAGAGCTGAGAGTCTCAAAGATGTCAAGAAACGTCTCTCTTCGAAGTCTCTTGAGCCGATACGCCAGCGTGGAATCGCGCGAGCTGCAGGCAATAACCAGCTAACGCCCGAACTTGCGAAGCTATGCAGAGAAGCGACAAAGGAAGACCTGAATGAGAGGAGAACAGCAGTTTTTGGCTGAAGCCGTCGAGGCTGTGAAGAGCATTCGCAAACCCCGCAGTAGCCCCGTCAGTTATGAGACCTAGATGACTTCTCTTCGTGATGGAACTGTTACGGCTTCCCGAAGGGCAATGGAGGAAGTTATCTACGACTTCTACTCTGATCTCTTCGATAGCCACGTCTACCTGCCTACCTACCATCTAGGGCAAGACGGATACGTCGTCCCTTCAGTTCTCCCTTCCGAAATTCGACATGCCATCACGTCGATGAGGAATGGTAGTGCACCCGGTCTTGACAGGATCAAAGCAGAGCACCTGAAAAGCCTTCCGCCAGTCATTGTCAAATCTCTGGCCCGGCTTTTCACGGGGTACCTGTCACAATGCAAAGTGCCCACTTCGTGGATAACTAGCAAGACCGTGTTGCTCTATAAGAAGGGAGATCCAGACGATATTGGAATCATCGCCAATTTGCCCGCTGTCTGTGATCTATAAACTCTTACACGAGTCATTCCTAAAAAGATTGGCAGAATATCAGATGAAGGGCAGCCATGCGAGCAAGCAGCCTTTTGGCGAGGGTTCAGTACAATCGATCACATCCACACCGTTACAAGACTCATTGAGGTATCGCGGGAGTACAAAACGCCGTTGTGTTTTACGTTCATCGATTTGAAGAAAGCCTTTGATACCGTTGAGACAGAAGCGGTAATTGAAGCTTTGGACAACCAGGGTGTCCCTACTCAATATATAAGGATGCTTTGTGAGCTCTGCAACAACTTCACGACCAGGATGTCGCCATTCTATGAAGAAGTCATCATCAACGTGAAGAGGGGGGTTCGACAGGGCGATACCATCTCGCCCAAACATTTCAATGCCGCTCTCGAGAACGTCATGCGTCATATGGAATGGGAAAGCATGGGAGTGAAGGTCGACGGCCGCTACTTACATCATCTCCGCTTTGCAGATGGCATCGTGCTTATAACACCCAACATCGAGCAGGCGGAACAAATGTTTTCCGAATTCGACAACGCTTGTGGAAGGATCGGTTCGAGACTGAATTCAACGAAGACGATGTTCATGCGAGACGGATTGGTACCTGATGCTCCTTTTATGCTGAAGGGAACGAATATCTCTGAATGCTCCAGCTATGTGTATTTAGGTCGAGATGTCAACATGATGAACGACCTAGCTCCAGAGCCTAGCGGACGGTAAGCGGGCGTGAGAAGCATTTGAGAACATCGAGGGAGTAGTGAAGAAAACGAAGAAAATTCGGCTCCGCGCTCACTTTTTTGATACTGCCGTTCTTCCTGCTTTGACATACGCCTCAGAGACTTGGACCCTACGAAAGCAGCATGAACATGCAGTTAGCGTCATTCAGCGCGCTAGGGAATTTCCCTATACACACATGTGCAGAGAGGAATCCGAAGTTCTGAGCTCCGTCGAGGAGAGAAGATTAAGGATGCCGTTGATTACGCTAAGGGACCGAAGATCAGGTGGGCCGGACACGTTATGCGATATAATGATGACCGTTGGACCGGAGCGATTACGGACTAGATCCCTCGGGACGTCAAGCGAACACCAGGACAGCCGCCAACGAGATGGTCAGGCTTCTTCACGAAAGCTCTGAACCAAGAGAATGTTTTGTCCCATGTCCCTAGAACGAGTGCGATTAACTGGACTACTCCGGCTCGCGACAGGGATGAATGGAGACGTTACTGGCCCCCGCTCGAGAAAACCTACGATTAACGGGAGTACAGGTGATACAGGTGAACGTCTGGATCTGCAAGTCCCCACGAAGTGCGCACTTTGCATCCGGACCGGTACTGCACGGAGAACCGAGCCAGGGTTTTGACAATGACTGGCGGTAGGCTCCTTGGATGCTCTGATTTGATACTATCGAGACTGGGCGCCTTACAAGTGCCGACGTGGTAGTATATCGAACTTTGGGAGGGAGAGATGAATGGACGACATATCCGTCTTGCCTAGGATCGTAGGTAGGCAGGTAACGTGGCTGTCGAAAGAAATCCGAGCGAAAATCGTAGGTTACTTTCTTCATAGCTCTTCGAAATGCAGTAACCGTTCCATCAGGACAACGAATGGGAGTCATCTTAGTCGTATAATTGGCTATGCGAATGCTCCTTTCCGCCTCGGCGGAATCGGTTGGAAGTGCTGCTCTTCTCTCTCACATCTTCATTTATCGCTTCTCTGCATAGCTTCGCTAGTTCGGACGCTGGCTGGTTATTGCCCGCAGCTCGCGCGATTCCACGCTGGCGTATCAGCCAAGGAGTCCTCGAAGAAAGACTTCTGTTGCCATCGTTTAGACTGCTCTGCTTTCCCGACACTATGGTGAAAGAAATGTAAAGTAAATAATGAATGACTACTAAGTAATATAATAAGAACATTAATAATAAGAAATGTAAAAATAATACAAATATCAGACAGATATAGATCAGATGTAGTTGCTCACATGGATGGGGCAGGAGTGTTTTTAGGTCGGGCTGTCACGAAAACGTCACCGTCACGTCATTTCGTATTCACATTCAGCTCACCCCGTCTATGCGAGTAATATGCACTGGCACCCGTGGTGGTGCGAGCAAAAACACAGCTCAAAGGTCGCGTTGAAACACAAAAATAGAGGAATAAATATGAGTGACATTTGATGCCTGGCCAATCTAATACAAGACTAGATAAGGCAAGGAGAGATACTTCGTGCTTATAATTACAAAGGTTCCACTGCTTATAGATGATCTATTACAAAGCGACGAAAGCCGGTTGCGCTGTTCAACAATGTGGCTATACATATGCGGCGGCCTGTGCGTTTGACAAGGCGTAAGTTCTTCCTAATCAAATAGTTTGTAGACTTTCAAAAACTGCATCCTAATGCTGATATAAGAAATATTCTTACTAACGAAGTGATAAACCTCATGTGCAAGATACTTGAAGCCATCTTTTCAAAGACCTTGATTTGAACACACCCTACACTTTAGGGTTTTACATACGAAAGATGAGCACTTTTTCGTAAGTATAGTCTTACCATCTCCTGGCTACGAAGCTGTTCCTTTACTTCCTTAGCTCCCAGTTGGACTGATATTGCTTCTGGCAATGACAGCTCTAGTTCAACCCCATTTCTCCATATTTACGCGAGTGTTCTAAAGCCATAGTGCGGGCCGGGGTTGCGGAAAACTGTACCATCACATATGCACAATCCGAGTACCGAGTCCCGGATCGGCGCTCGCCCGGACTGAGTCAGCCTACAACACCTAGGTGGTTGGTTGAATAGTATCGGTTCGAACACCTAGGTGGTTGGTTGAATAGTATCGGACGGAGAGGAAAAGGAATAAGTCGTATCATAAATATGTATATTGGCCAGCCAACGCTGTTCATTGCATGGGTCACAGACCCATGTCCACCGCCGCTAAGATTTTGAACAGATGTTGAATGCAGGAACGTACCCTAAGAACGGTATTGATGAACACTAGAGACTTTCTAGGATTTGGTAGTGCTGTACCATGGCCTACTGTTCTTCTAAGGCCTTATTGTTTTTCCAATTGCTACTGCTTGGCGGTAAAATCTAGAACACTTGATTTCCTCGGGTGAAAGTTATACGCACAACTCATGACCTTACAGGAAGTACGCCCGTCACGATTGCGGGATACCAAAAGTCACAATTATCCCACAATCTCCTCACCAGTCGGTTCGCCCGGCTGACGCCGGGCTTACCTTCTTTGACAGGGTTATAGTAATCAACTAACTCTCCACTCTTTTTTCATTTTCCTGTACACGAAGTTTGACACCGGACTAACAAGGCATTGCAAATAGTGTTCAGTTCAGGTTGGTGCTTATGCCTTTTATTGGAAGTCTCGATCTTTCGCTCTCGTTCTTAAAAGTAAATACCCATTAAAGACTCGACTGTTAGCAGCCAAGGCCATGGGCGGTACTCGCAAGTGTTTCGAGTGATTACAACACCATTATTAAATGCCACTATCAGCAAGAAAGGAACAAAATTTTCATCTGCTTATCGTAGTGCCGCTAATGAGTGCCTATCACTGCACTTACCACTCACTCTCACCCTCGTCTCCTATCTTGTCTCATCGAATGAAACATACTGAACAGTCAAAACTACATCGTAAATACCGAAGACGTTGGGATTGTGATCGGTAGGTGGCTCTTGGCCCTTGATCTTCTCTTATCAGTTGTCATCGGTTCCTGTCGCCGAGTATCTACGATACCGTCATATCATATCCTACATCATTTGTTAAAACGTCGAGGTGCGATTGTTAATACGGAAAAGCTGTACTCCTATCAAATTTCAACGCTCTTGGTCCACGGGAAGGAGTTATCCATTCCCTGTCAAATACACACACCGACGCACCAACAGATACGCTAACCGAATTATCTCTCTTATTTATAAAGCAGTAACTTGGTGTATCGGTTTGTCGGTATGTCGGTAAGTCGGTATGTCGGTATTTCGGTTTGTCGGTATGTCCGTCCGCATGACTATGATTACGATAAAGGTAGTGGTATGAAAGTTTAGCTCTATTCCACACTCCCTTCTTATATAAGACAGAAACTTGAAGGGTAGGTTAATGGAGCAGAGTGAGTACTGCGGAGTGAAGTGAGTGATGTGGAGTGAAGTGGCTATTTCAAAACTGTGATTTCGAACTGTACTGCATCGTGATGACCCTGCCTTTACAAAAATCGGAGGTGATAATGTTGTTGGAAGACTACCTTTTTTTTAGCATAATTTCAACTCATGAACATTTCTTGGCTGAGAAAGACAATCCCTGATCTTTGTTTAAAGAGGCAAGGGTTACCGAAGTGGGTGAGTCAATTGAATATATAACTCATACCCCATCTTAGCTTTCTGTACGAGGTAATCTTTTCACCCCTACCGCTCCACTCCTGCCCTTTGAAGCTCAGCTTGAAATCATGTCCTTTCCCTTGAAACCGGGTCGCCTACTCCTCCTGCACTCTAGCCCTTCGTGTTGGATAAAAGCGCTGCCCCTCCCCCTAAGGATAAAAGCGCTGCCCCTCCCCCTGACTACATTTCTTAACTGCTTGGTAAAAGGAATGAGGTTCGGCGTAAGCCGGGCAACCCGACTGGTATGTGTATAAAGTAGGATCATCAATGAATTTAATCGCAAAATTATGGACACCTGAAGAGCATATATTATCCTCTTCGAGATTACCGACATCTAGGAAATAACCTTTCACCCTGTACATAAAAATGGTCGTACGGTCACTGGTGAATTTTTGGAGACGTCTGGTTGATGTATACAAGCAAAGTAGCTTTTCTCCTATCCGCCCTTTCTTCACGCCTTTACCATCTGTCCTTCTGCTCCACAAGGTGAATCTCGAGTATCCCGAGATCAGCTATTTTTGTGAGTCGCCGCAACTTCCATCTTACTGCGACGCCTTCCAAAGTTGCATTGGTTCTAGTGATATTTTTCTCGGTTCTTCTCACTAGTCAATTAATCTTCAAAAACCTATGGTTAACGGTGGTTAACGTATAGCATCGAAATGGGTATCCTCCTATTTGAGCGACTGGAGTCTACTCAGGTATAATGATAGCAATGGATTCCTCCTACTTCATCCGCGTCACATTCATTTGAACCATGCAACTAGCGGTCAAGTATTTTGAACACTGCCTCTGGAAATGGTACAGCCGCGTAAGAATTCTATCAAAGCCCACGTTCCATTTCACAAGAAGTCTCAATATAGGAAGTGTTGCCCATTTGGACCGTAACTTATACACTAACAGCGAGTTCCATCACATGACCATGAGAAATATTTCCCTTCATTTTTTTTTAGAATACGTCAATTCCTTCGAAATAATACAGCCAATAACCAAATCAAATTATTCAGCAGTTGGATGTTGACAAGAAGAGGAAGCTGCGTGATTAATAATCAGTTGACCCTCTCCGTAAAATACCTCAATAATACTACTGTCTAAGCCAATATAAGGGCTATCAATGAGTCCGTGGACAACTCGGGGCCAAGCATCGACGAGTGCTTCCTTCAGCGCAATGATGCCTGCAAATTGCTTGTTTTCTCCAGGAATCTTCCTTATCATGAATTCTCAAACGTTTTTCCATCGGAATCGAATTAGGACTCTTAGCCGGCTAGGGGAAAAGACCTAATCGGTGCTAAAGCTAAACTAAACCAGCCTGGCTGTTCGGCTGACATGAATCGGGCGTTACCCTGCATGAATACGGAGTTCGGCTGCCGATTCTAAAGCCAAAAAGGGATAAGCACGGCCTATTGCGACTCAATAACAGAGTTACTTTTCTTTAAAGCAAAATATAAATGATGACGTTTACGAGAAGAAATTGCCCATAACAAGACTCCTACCTTGGAATTTCGTATGAAACATCGAAACTTACGAAAGTCTCACAAGTTTGGCGACTTATGGACAGAAGTTCAGTCTCGGACGTGACTCGAACCGGTACTTGTCTTTTCCGGGGACCGTGCTCTTAACACTTACACTACCGAGACCCCGCTTGCCCTCGCTTTCTTAATGGCTTATATACAATAGCTTGTCAGCACTCACACGTACAACGTGTTGAGCCGGTCGGCCAATATCAGCACTGAACCGTTAAGCTGAAAGCTCCACATGATATAACTTGTTGTGACCTGATGTTTTGTTAACTGCTGTTATATCGCTGCAGTACGCGTTCCGAAAGTCTCACAAGATTGGCGACCAGCCTTGTTAGACCTTTGGAACGCGGAACGCGTACTGCGACGATATAACAGCAGTTAACAAAACATCAAGTCAAAACAAGTTAAAGCTTATGCTTTCTCAAATCGTCATCAGTCGGTCGCCATAAGGGCCATACAGTTAGACGTTTTCCATGAAAAAAACCCTGGAGGAAAAACGTCAAGAGAAGGAAGAGTAAAGGACGAGAGATGTAAGACACCTTACTCCAACCGGTTAGGGTGCCGTTCATGGCAAAAGTGAACCGATCATCGCGACGCTCTTCAATCACAAGGTGTCTTCCTCATTCCTAGCCCAACAATGGGCTCGGACTTATTTAGCACGTGCTAGACAGTAATCCTCGAGAAACTGAGCTTCAAGGAAAATTGATTTCTAAACATAACTTAATCGTACCCGACGCATCTCCGGAATCCGTCGCTTGTCTCTTCCCGAAAACAACAAAGAAGGCCGTACTCCTTTTGATCCCATAACCTGCAGGATTCCTAACAAAATTGTTAATAAGTGCGTGGCATATTCCCAAATGTTGGGCGCTTCTACGATTTGACAGTCCCTGTTCCTTTTTTTGCAAGGTTTTGACCTTTCTCCAAATTGTATAGCAACTTTCTTTTACCTCTATCTGAAATCGTGAAACATCACACAGACGAAACAATTTCGTAAGGTGAAAATGGAACGTGACGGAAAAATATGAGGCGACTGTATCATTTTGAAGCATGGGCAAAGACCTTCTCTGATAAGAATGGAGGAGAAAGTTGTCCATGTTTTCGGGATGGAACTTGGTGCTGGTCTTCAATATACGGTCTGACGTCCCCATATTGAGTCTTCTCCTGAAGTGCCCTGTGTAATTAACACAACACGGGTGGTGAAGTCCTGTACAATGAGGACTGTTTTTGACATTCCTGCATTCCATACCGTAATGTAGGATTCCATGCATGCCATAAGGACCAAACTCTTTCCCTACTATCATTTTCTGCATGTCTGGACGAACCTCATCCTCCGTTCTATTACCGTGAAACCAGCCATTGCATATATTTCTTGCTTTTTCGGTGAAATCTCAATGAAAAACGTTGTTGAAGTGTTTATCCGCCTCCGCTTGATCTTTTTTTCTGAGGTAAAGCACCTACGCTGTTCTTCAGCCTCCCTATCCCCGTGTATTCATAGCCCGATGTCAAGTTTAGACCAGCTAAAAACGAACTTTGAGTTGGCAATGCCGACCTTTACGCACAAAGAATTCGGTCTCTTATTCTTATCCTTCGTTATGGCAACGGAGAAATTTACATGTCTCTGCGAACTTTCTAGGTTTTTTGGATCTCCTGTATTCCGTCAAGTTTTGTAGCCCACATTTTCTGCTTCAACATTGACCAGTTGGGCTACACAAGCTGACGCTGCACCACAGATCCTTTACCGCTTACCTACGACTTGTAGGAGTACCGATATAAACAGTATCGATTAACTTCCATTTCATAACAGTTTCCTCACTAAACTGACATTCTAACTCTTCATCGGGCCTACGTCACTTTTGGAGGGACGCACAAACGGACATACAAGCAGACACACAAAGTTACCGCTTCATATATAGAGAGATAGGGTTTCATCGATCTAGAATCACCCCTCTTGCCTTCTGCGAATCCATCTCTAGCCTCTCTTAAAGGTCCGGCTTGCAAAATGCAAGATGCCTCCACAACGTTGCTTCGACTTTGCTGTAGCCGCTTACGAGAGCTTGGAGCGAACCTCGAGTTTCATATACCTTTCCAGGCGCTTCCTCGGATAGTACCAAGTTTCGGGACAGAAAAGAAAAACCAACAGCAAATTCTTCATGTATCGTAAGTGATGATGATGATCTGATAGTTTGTAGGTAATGGTCATGACTCCATATATAGAATGATTTTGAAACGATGAGGGAGCCTTTAGGCGGAACTGTGAGTTTTTGATCTTACTTCCACCCAGCTCAGTGCAAGCTCCGCTATTTGGGGGTTTGATCATTCCCTCTACAACAGCCTCTATTCGTTTTCGGATTGCTCCAGAAGGTTCTCAAGCAGAGTTAGAGGTGTTTGTCCCTTGCTCCCCCTACCTTAGCTCAGACCCTCTCCCATCGTGAAAATTTGACTACCTCTTCTTGTGGCTGCCCCTAACCACTCACCCCAAACTCCGCCCACTTTGAGAAGTTGACCACATCCCTTCTGGTACCTCTATCGTCTTTTTTTCCGCAGTCCAGATCATTCTTGAACAGAGGTATGGATTTTTGATCTTAGCTCACTCCACCTCACTGCATACTCTACACACTTTGGGAATTTAACCACATTCCTGGTAAAACCTATAGCCACTTTGTTCCACGTTTAGAACGTTTTCAAACAGAAGTATATTTTTTCAATGATTGGATTCGTTTGAATGCACTTCCTGCCCATCGTGAGCGGAGCCTCGCTGAGTTCACATATGCTCAGCACATATTAGGCCTTTATCACTCCTTTTATTTTTTCCTAGCGTTCACACCTTCAATGATCCGAGCCAGAATCAATGTGGAATGTACAAGCTGTAAATAGCATAGCACCCACTGCAAGAATGCTTCTCCTACGGCTGATAAGAGGTCACTCCATTAGGTGACCCATTCCTTACCTTTGCTCATTTTGCTCACAGCCCGGCGTTTTGGGCGTCATGAAAGCCAATAAAGGAGCTTTGTCTACTACACCATCTTCTCGTGTGCATGTCCCGCCCTTTCCCCCGGTGGGTGTACCTTCGCTCAAAATTTCTTAACAACCGTACAAAGCCACCTCAGTGCAGGCCCATCTACAAGGACACGCATGCGCAGCACGCCTCAGATCTTGTTTACTGCTCAAATTTTTCTGGCCTACGCACTTCCCCTTCAACCAACTTATTGATCCTATAGGGAGTACCGCTCACTTTCAAGACGTTTCCAGCGCGGTGAGTCTTAATTGCTGACCCTCTTTCAACCTTTCCTCACTTTTTCTCTTTGTCTAGGCTTTACTAGAGTCCAATGGAACACTTCTGTCTCAGACCAAAAACCAGCCGGTAGGAGCTCGAAATGGTCATGAAACCAGTTGTATCATGTATGTATCACATGATGAGTTGCACTGTCACGGCTACTCGATACAGTTCGAATCATAAACCTGGACCTGTTTGAGTCAACCCCTGAACGCGAATCTGAAGCGTGAAATTTCATGAAGGCACACTTCAAAATAATTTTGAGATACCTGAGACAAATCATGGAATTGATAGTTAAGGATAGCACCAAAGTGGCGAAGATAACTTGGTAATTGGCATATCCAGTGAAAGAGAATGTTTAAAAAAATGGCAAAATCAGGGATTGTACGAGAATATGAGGACAGAATTTGCACGGAAGTAATATTCATAGGAGCTGTTCGAATGTTCGCGCTACTGCATACACCTGGATGCAGTAAGCTGCATGCGTGCAAGGTGTCCCTCAAGCCATTCTTGAGGAACTCAGCTTTATCCAAAGGAAAAAATCTCGAAATAATTTTCTTCGTGACGCGTGCCTTCCATGGAGTTGTTGAGTGCAAAGAGATTCTCCCTATCTAGTTTCAGTCTCAAGTTCCGCCCAGTGTGCGAGAATCGTCTTTGAATTTTTCGGTCAAAATATTTGACGGAGTCCCAGTATAGTGACTTGGTGTTTTGTTGACTGCTGTTTTCTCGCCTCAGTACGCGACGCGAAAGTCTCACAAGGTCGGCGAGTTATGGACAAAACTTCGGCCTCGCACGGGACTCGAATCCACACTTGTAGGAATCAGTACTAGTGCAAGAGCGAGGGCAAGCGGAACCTCGGTAATGTAAGGAATAGAGCACGGTGCCTGGACGGCACAAGTACGGGTACGAGTCCCTTCCGAGGCCAAAGTTTTGTCCATAACTCGTCGTCCTTGTGAGGCAATTTAGAATCTTTCCCTATATGTGTGTACAGATGTGTATGAGTTATCATCTGCCTTTAGTATTATGACTGAGGATGATCCTAAATTCGAGATGCAAACTATTCACTTAATTGACCAAATGATTTTTCTCATCTCATAATGTTTCTTACTGCTCTGCCGTACAGGTTTGTTATGGCTTAACCGCTTTATTGGTTGACGTTTCGACTGAATCGTCGTCTTCAAGACCTAGAAATAGTTCGAAGCTTTTAATCTGTGAATTACCCGAACCCAAACTAAGCGCACAAATGCGCTAGACTAGTTGCAACAACTTCCGCAAACTCGAACTTCGAAAGTTCCTCGTGTGGAACGTAACGCTACTGGAACCGCAAAAGGTTGGTCACTTCGCTAGGAACTTTTCAAAGTGTCAGTTTTCTGGACTTGTTGCAACTAGCCAAGCGCGTTTGGGCGCTTGGTCGGGTAAGTCACAGATTAGGAACTTTGAACTATTTCCATGTCCCTTCAGGTTCGGACATCCAATAGAGTGGTTCAGCCATAAAAAACCTGTACGGCCGAGCAGTAAGGAACATTACGCAAAATACCCAGGTTTCAAGAAAACCGAACGTGGAAGTCATTCTCATCTCACTTTCAGACCGCAGTGGGGCGAACCAATATACATAGCTGATCCTAATGCGTATGGATGTAGTACTGACGAAGATTGTAGCAGTGTAATAAACGGTTCTATTTGTAAGACAGGATATTGGTCAGGGCTTTGTGGCTTTAAGGCCCCCACAACCACCACATCCAGTAAGTTCTCCCATCATTTTTGCAATATTCAAAGAATGGCTGCTACTTATCCCATTTCAGTATTCAATACACTTCACTCATACTTTTAGCCACTACTTCTTCAACAGAAATTACAAGCTCTGCACCAGAAACCTCAGCTCCTTCGAGGGCTACTGCAACTTCTGCAGCAGGTAATATAAATTCTGAAACTGGAAGAAATAACTTTGACAGCAGAAACTACAACTCCTCAGAAACAACTATAAGTACCGATACAGGAAAGACAACGTCGGCAACAGGATCGACGAAATCCACAGGAACTACGAAAGAGACTGAACCGTCATCCACCGTAGCAACATCAACTAGTAAGGCTTTGAGAATGATGAAAAGTTCACTTAGTCAGCAGCACTGAAAGATGACTACGGTGATTCTCGTAGTCGTTTCACATGTGAGAAACTTGTAGTTTAGCAACTCTATGTATTATACGGGCGGAGGTGGTGTAGTGGCAAGTGGCGCACTATATCACAAGCACGATCAGGGGTTCGAATCCCGGATCGATGCCCACCTAAGCCAAGCAAGCCTTCCATCCTTCCGGGGTCGGTGAATTGGTACCAGACTTGTCTGGGAGGATAAAAGCACTGACTTGTACATCGGCTGGCCACCGCAAGTCATTGTATAGGCCACATACGCACTCATTACGCCACTACGATTCTGAATGGAAGTCGTGTGCGGGGGCGCATCCCTCATACGGGATTGATTAACGCCAAAAACTTTATCCTTTATCCTTTATGTATTATACAACCCCAAAAAATAACCATGATTTGAGATATCTTCATAACCTCCGGGTAAGCCGTTTATGCCGACCCGGAGCTTAATGTCGCCGTGGACTTGGAGGCAAACAGAATTGAATAAATTTGAGTGATATCGCGTTATGTGCTACATGTGTACTTGCCAGGTATCATTTGGGAGAAAAAAGGATAAGTAATGAATCCAGTTCTCGCATCGTGTTTCATACTACAATGAAATTTTTCGATAGGTAAGCAGATGATGTACTGAATTTTGGGCAAGAACTTTTCACTTCGCGATGAAACTCTATTACTTCTTTCCGATGTCATAATCTTTATATTTAAAAAATATGCACAAACATTTATACAGAATGAATCATGTGAGGAATTTTGTGGATTCCAGGTCAATCTGAATATATTATCAAGTTGATCAATGAAATGAGAGCAGAAGTAGCGAATGGTAACATATCCACATCGTATGGATCACTACCAAGTTCTTTGCATATGTTCCAATTGGTACGTTACCAGACAACTTCTTGTTTATGATATACCAGTTGGGCTACGCACGGTAACGCGTGCACCATATGCCCACTACCGCTTACCTACGACTTGTTAGAGTACCAATATAAACAGCATCGGTTGACTTCCCATTTCATAACTGCTTCCTCACTGCGCTCACATGACATTCACACTCTTCATCGTGCCTACGTGCCTTTTGGAACGACGCAGAAACGGACATACAAACAGACACACAAAGTTACCGCTTTATTTATTTATTTAGTTTTTCAATGTACACACTAAGGTGCGCAATAGTAACAAACAAAGGAAGCAAACCAGATATAAACTTAAACAGAAAAAAGGCAACAAAAAGAAAATGCACAATAAGAAACACCATACCCATGGGTGCATGCCCTCCAGGTTTGATACCCGAAAAAATCCTATATGCCTTACAAGGCAAGGAGGTCTAAGTTCCTCAATTTCCTTTCAAAAGCATTGGCATTCGGCGCCTTTTGCAATTCTACGGATAACAGCTGAAGCCATTTCGCTCAGCGGAAAAGAAGCGAGTGAATTACACCAGCACGATGACCACGGTTCAGTTTTGAGCATTGCAGAGATAACGAAGTGACACGACCTCTGCACGGTCTCATTACTCAGTACTTACTAGGCCGTAGCTTAAGGTCGCCCTTCAGCACTTTGGAACAGAATACTATGTCGTTAAATACCCTTCTGTACAATAATGTTTCAAATCTGAAACGATGCAACCGGTCATCATAACTGGGTAACGAGTTTGGGTATGCTGGGTCGAGGTAGCATTTATTTATTTATTTATTTATTTATTTATTTATTTATTTATTTATACTCTCCTGAAAGTTTACTGGACCTTTTCGACTTTCGCGTTAATACTCTCCTAGAATTGGTTGAACCTTTCCTTTCAATTTTCGCCTGGAGGCTCTTAGTATGAGAATTCCATATCTGTGAGCCGTGTTCGAGTATGGGAAAAACACATGCTTCGTAGGGCCTTAACGCATCGAACATTTCTAAGAATGGGAAAAAGTGCTGCAGAGGCTCTTCGAACGACTACATCGTTGTGGAGTGAAAGTTCCAAGTTGGGATTGTTAAGAAACCCAAGGTCGTGAACTTCATATGAAGTATGCAGAGGAATGTTGTTGGCCGCGTATGGTTCAATTATGGCTTTATGTAAATGAAGTACAGATGTCCTCGTAAGGTTTACAGGTATTCCCCAAGCAGTGATCCACTCCATCATGTTGCGAAAAGTCTGGGTTAGAGCTTGATGTACCTGACCATAATTATCATTGCTGCAAACGCCATATATTTTAATGTCATCGGCATACATTTTCATTTTAATCAAAGGGTCAGTATTGAGATATGAAGATAAGTCGTAGGTGTACGCTACAAATAGCAGGGAGACAACACACCGCCTTGAGGGACCCCGTAGAGTAAGGGAATCTCTGTGAAAAACTGTTATAAACCCTAACGCACATGCCTATCTTCCAAGTAGGACTTAACCCAGCTAAGAATGTGGCATTCGTTCCCTAACTGGTGAAGCTCGAGAAAAAGCCTTTCATGACTCACTTTATCAAAAACCTTCGTCAAATCGAGGTTAATAATATCCACACGAATCCCTTCGTTTATAGCAAGGTTCCAATCAAATATGCAGTCTGTCATAAGTGTGACTGTGGGCGCATTGCTAATGAAACCGTGCCGTTTCATAGATATAAAATTGTTTTTCGGTAAATGCGATACAATTTTGTAGCATAGTATTTTTTTCAGGACTTTAGCAGGTGGCGCTGTAATACTTATAGGTCTAAAAGATGAGACTAGTTTCGGTTCAGTTACTTTAGGTATAGCTCTAATAACAACTCCTTCCAGCTGGATGAGACTTCACAAAACATTAGTGTTGCAAAGTATCATACAGATAGGTTCGCTCAGAGAGAGGCGCAGTACTTGTAGGCGATTCAAGGAATACCTCCAGAAGGTACCGAATTGGAGCAGCTCCATGATCTCAATGCTTTTCGCACTTTCTGGGGAGTTATCATACACTGAATGGTACTATTCGAGTGCGCCCAGCGCATAAGGTTACTGCAGTGTTCGAGTCTGTTTTTAGGGAAAAAACAGAAGGAAAGAACTGCGCAAGAGCTTTTGCATTTGAAGGTCAGTCAAGAATCTTCTGTCATTTTCATCTCGAAGCAAAGTATGCGGGGGTGTGGTTCAGTCCTATACCTAATCAATGCAGCAAGAGCTCTTCTGATAGCTATCAGTGACCCGTCTTTCCTTATGGGCTAAGAATCTTTCTCAGATGATGATCAAGCTCCTGGCAAGCTCTCGTACTAAACAGCCCCTAGAGGACAATCTTGTAGCGTGCCATAGTGCCGAGATTTTTGAGCTAATAAACTATTGGTAAGTTTTGCATGTCGCATTCTGGCACCGTCATGGAATTGAAAGGTACATAATTAGCTAAACTGCATGGACGATGCAACAAAACCTTTTTAAATGTCGTCAGCAGAATTGTAAACATCAAGAGCGCTCCACCAATCCATAGAAGAAAGATGATTGACAACGCAGAATAATCTGCTTCAAGAAAATTTGGCAGCGGGCGTATGCCCGATGAAGGCGAAGAAATAAGGACTTCAAATGTAGTGGTGCTGCGGTCGGACGTTGCAGAAGGGGGCATCGCCACGTCGTTTCAACAATAGGAGCATTTGATAGTATTATGTCCAGAGTAGTTCTACACCTGAGGTTATGTTTGAACATGTTGAGCTGAGCCACAGCATTGAAAGAATTCCAAAACCCTAGTGGCGGTCGAATTCTTAGCTCTGCCTCTCTTCCAATCATTGTCAGTGTCAAGATCTGCCAAAACAGTTGAGTGCTTGTTGAAACTATAATGGTCAAACGAAGGGTGACAAGGGTGAAAGAAATCCTAACTATTCAAGGGACTATCCCCCCTCTTCTGTCTTTACGATCAAGAGGAAAATGATGTAGGGGAGCTTTCAAGGAGTTCAGAACTAGATATTTTCGATGATAGCCATGTCTCAGTGATGAGGAAGGTATGGACNCGCGTCCACAAAGAATCGTGAGTGGTGTATCTTGTTACCCAAACTCCTTGCATTGAAAAGAAAACATCGTATACATAGGGGTGGACCGCGTCAACTTAGACGTTTTTCGCTCCCCGTTTTTTCGGAAGTGGAAAAAGCGGAGTCTCGAGTGGTGTGCCGTGGCGAAATCAAGCGTCGACACGCTTGATTTCGCTACGGTAACCATCCAAACGTGGTCCCTCGATTGCTCGTTGTGAGCCTTGCATTCCTCTCTCGACTCGAACTCATACTTGCGCTCAGCTGCAGTCATCTTTTACGTATGAAAATATTTGACAAACCCGCGCTGCGCAAGCAATGACTATTCTAGGGGCACTAGTCCAATGACTTCTAGATGGAAGCACAACTTTTACCAATCGTGGACGTGCATCATCAGGTTTTCCCATACATACGATACACCTCCACGGGTCGACGCTCAACTTTTAAGGGCACAGTTCACGATAATTTTGGGTAATCCAGATTATGACGAAAAATGGGAGATAAGAGGAGATTAGTGCGATGAGGGCGAAGGAGCTGCATGAATCGGTGTTTCTAAAGTGAAAAAAGGTTTCGAAAAATTGTTGAAAAGGAGGCTGGACGAGAATGAGGCCAGAAGAGTGAAGAAGAACGGGGCGTTCAAACAAGCTACACACTGTGCGTCATTGTACTTGTAGGTCCTGGTGCAAGTAACTGACTGCGGTAAGCAAAAACTCATTAACTAAAGCATAAGTAATAGTAGTAGTAGTAGTTCCCTAGTAACAGCAAAAACAGGTCACCTTTTTCAGCCTCTTGGGGTAGGGAATCAAATAAGGGATCGCGGCGGCAAAAAGAATAACAGGGGAAAAAAGAATGGGAGAAAAACATCACCTCATCACTCGGCGAACAGCTGATTGTGTGTGGGTCCTAGAACGGATAATTGCAATCTTTATCGCCTCGACACTCGTCTGACGTGACATCGATCGAGGGTCGGGAAGACCGCGCGAGCCAAGAACGGGGCTTCAACTATGCTCTAACCAACAAGTTGTTGGGCGCGAGTGGGTCCTTTCTATTACCCTTGTAGGCCATTGAGTATTTTTAGGGGGCAAACTCAGTAACCAGTTCTATCGTGAACCGTGCCTTCAAACAATCTAAGATTTCAGCGACACGGGTTTCAACCTCTTGTTGCTTAACAGAAGGAGGCGTTTCTGGATCGACTCCGGAATACTAAATATAACCTAACTACGCTTCCTCTTATATATATATATATATATATATATATATATATATATATATATATACAGATTTTAGAACAATGTATTAACTCGCCTCGCTATTGAGTCGGATCCCTAGTCTAATAGCATGCTTTCGGATACTAAGGCCAGATATGCCTATTTTGTTGAAGGTGCTTCACTGACCCGGCGACATCCCTGCTTTGGGACACGTTTGCTCGCTATCGTGGCGAGAGTCACGACATCTGCCGAGAATCATGTTGCCTCACTCTAAGACGAACTATTCAACGAAGAAACTTCCGCGCAAAAAAGGCAAAGAAAACGCAAAAATTGGCGTACTGAGAGATATAAGGGTCAAAAAATGCAGTAGTGTTAGGCGTTGAACGTGAATGTGGCAACAAAAGTTGCGTGGAAGGGGTATTCGGACAAGCTGTCCAAATATGTGTGCCATTGCGTGCAACTGGTTACAGTAAGCTGCATACATAAACGTGTGCGTTCCGATACGAATGGTGTAACCTCCACAGCTTCTGCACTGCCGTGAGAACTCGTCCTTTTTTGGGTGTCTATGTCAGTTGCCCTTTCTGGATCGTTTTCAGACCCAACAGCAACCTATATTCCTAATGTTCACAAATACAGTTCTCAGAAACGATTTCTATCTATCGTGAATTGTGCCTTACTCCGAAAGGGTTATTCGATACCAAAGCCAGCTTCACAGTGGGCTGTTCAAGAGATTATTTTGGGCAAGGAT